TGCAGTTAGAACTCCGACCCATTTTGAGCGGTACGGCCCCACACAACATCGGCGTGTGTCTGCTCTGTTTTAGGTCCGCCTCGGCCTATAGTTCAGCTGGCGCGTAGCGTCCGGCGACCACCAATAGCAGCTCGACGCTCGCACGTCGCACCGTGTGTCGCCAAATCCATAACTGGCACCGCACTGTCCCGGGGCCGCCCCGTCCCGTAGCGAATCGTATCATTTCATTGAGCGCTGCTGGCGCCGCTATGGCTCCGCCGCGTTTCTACATTCACTCAACTCATTCACGCGTTGGTTCCCCATTCAGCTCCATTCATTCATTCATTCATTTACTTGACTCACGTCAAACGCGCCGGTGTGGAGGAGAAGGCCCAGGCGAGTCGCCCCGGGCGACGCGAGGATCTCGGTATAACGCGGCATGAGTATGGCGGGGCCCGGCGCTGTGGGAAAACAATAGGATGTGTCTTGTCAGCGCGGCGAGCCGGCGGCGAGCGGTCGTGTTGTTGTTATTACTATTGCGATTCGCTCAATTGAAAAAAAGAAACTTACAGGTGTAATAATAACTGGTGATGGATGCTACTAGCGATGGCACATCGTATTGTATATCGTCTTGAGTGTTTCTTCTTCTTCTTCTTTTCAATTACACCAGCGCTTTTTGTTTTTACGGTCTGTGGGGTTTCAAGTTACACTGTGTCTTTGTCTTGTCTTTATGCGGACTACTGAGAAGCTGCAAAAAAATCAGGAGGCGCGTGTTTTTACGTATTTAACGTATTACTTGCACAAAAACGTGGCGTCTCGCGACACCACACAATTGAATCCAAGACTGATATTTTCTTTCGGTTATGACCCCTAAATGACGCTGGCGGTGCAGGTTGTGGGCCATTTAGGTGACAACTCCATTATTAAATAATGAAGACCCGTTTCGGCGGCGTGGCGGGGCGGGGCGGGGCGAAGTGGCGAGGTGGGGCGAGGCGGGGCGTTCCCCCCCATCGCGTGAGCGTGTGGGCGATGTATGCGAACGGCGCGGACGGCCAAGCGGCTTATACGACCCATAAAGGCGGCCTGGCCGCGAGCCGCCATTGGCGGCCATACACCGCGACCCGCGGACGCCCGCGACACACACAGGCTCCGCGCGGCGGCGCCCCGCCCGCGACGTGAGCCGTCGGCTTTATGCGGGAGAAGACGAGAAAAGGTCATTCATTGCGCTGAGTTGTGTGCGTGCGTGTGTGTGGAGCTTCAGCTTTGTTTACTCTGCCGGCAGAAATCCCCTTTATCGAACCCATCGACCCGCTCCCCGACAAAGAAGTGTGATTGTTTTTCATCATC